GGAAGAAAGAAGCCAATAAAAGCTATGACGTTAATATCTCAAGTGTTATACGTGCTTATACGTGCATTTTTGTCTTGTCAGAGAGTAGCAGGCAGTCACTGTGAATCTCTGTTCGTTTTGTGGTCCCGCAGTGGACTGATCGTTAAGACACGGTTCCCAGCAGAACACCGAAGTCAAGCATCTGGCTACGGTCAGTGTGCGGGTGGGTGACCACTTGGATCAGTCTGCGTAGGAACCGAGGGTGTGCGGTATTGGTCCTCGTTAAACTGTGCTACCGTAAAGTGCTCGACTTCGCGCGCAGGTCGTCGGGCTACCGAAGCGGGGGTGCCATCCCCTCCGCAGAGGATCAAAATTGTGTTGGCATGTCTTCGGATCATCCTGCGGGATGTTTCCTAGACCGTCGCCGATAGCCCATTGTGCAGCTCTAGTGCGACGTAAATTAACAACAACTGTTCGTTTTGTGAGAGAATTGCTGATCTCGAGAATGTGCAAGAGTTAGTAAATATGTTAGATTCATAGAAATGATTTTAATGTTTTGTTTCATTTGAAAGTTAAATATATGCTACTTCAAGTCATTCTGTCTTTATTTCAACACACGACTATGCAATTGGTATAAAATTCACACGCACAATCATAACGTTGTTGTTTCGAATGCTACTTGCCCATACCAGCAAGCCTGCTTGGTGAAACTAAACTGACTTAACACCAAGGATGCGTTTCTTGTTTTTCAGTGGTGCTATCTATGACTAAGAATACGACTTCAGACACACACACACACACACGTCATAGCCCGTTTATAGGGTGGAACCATTCATTCATCCATTGATTGTAATTTTGACCTGAATCAGAGAACGATAAATCTCCAATTCAGTACCCCCAGAGGTGTTGATTTGTTATGGAAGCATGGAGGACTTTGTGATCCGGCAGTTTTAACGTGCGCCAGTCATCATTTATTACACAAGGAGTCTTCGGCTGGCGGGGATCTAGCTTACGACTTCTTGGAAATGAGAAATCACCAGTAGTAGCGTTTTACAACTATTCATAACTATATTACAACCCGAATCCTAGTTACATTTTATTTAATTTTGAGCATTATGGGCATTATTGTATGGATAATTTTGCTATCCAGCATATCCCCCTGCTTGAAAAAAAAAAGTATGCGATCATTTTTGAAGGAATTAGAATGATATACTAAACTGGCTTCCTCTCTGGTTTTGCAGAATAACGCGTACATTTTTCTGGGTTTACTGGCAACAGTTTTATTTCACTTTTGGGTAAAATTTAAGATCAATAAAAGTTTTAAGAAAATGAATACTAGCAATTTTTACTAAAGTTTAACTATATACTTTTTCGTGTTATTAAAAATGCATGAAAAAATTTACTTTATTTTATTTATTAAAATAGTTTGATTTTCAGCTAATTTTCTTAAATTTCAAAATGCCGTGGAATTTCCCATAATTTAAAAAAAAAAAAAGAAAAAGAAAGAAAAAAAAAAGAAAAAGAAAAAAAAAACAGACTGGATGATCGCTTCAGGCAGCAAGTTTGACATACAAAATATTTTCACAATGGTCCACCCTAATATGTACACTAATAGCATACACTTTAGGGCATTGCAAATTAATATTTTAGCGAGGAAGAGACAAAAACGCAATAGAATTCTTTCGAATCCCTTGAGAGGAAGACGGGATGAAAAACATCAACACCAGTTTGATTGGCTGATGAAATTTGGAGATGCTTCAAACATTCGCCTTTCAACACCTCTCCGTTTCACCAGCAAACTATCAGGTTTTAATGTTTTTTCTGCTTAGTTTCCGATAGAGTTTTTGTCCTAAACATTAATTTTCCACCTACAACGTGTATACATTTGTTAGCTTCGTACTTAAAGATATTTAGAAAACATACACGTAGTTCGTAACGAAACACCATGTATAGACAGAAAATTAGACCATGTTAAATTTTTAGACTCCCAATTTTAAATTTTCAAAAAATAACCGATGCTTTTTAAATATTTAGTCTCTATTTATTTTTAATGGTATATTTATGTTTAAGTAAGAACTAATAGTAATGAATGTGTTTATGTAACATTTGGTTATTAATTATGTAATATAATAGTGTGTAGAAATCTTTAAGCCCTTTTTTCTGTCATTGAAAGTTTACCAGAAGTTGCACATTAAACATTTGTTGATTGTTATAAATTTATGCCATGATGTATTCGTTAAAATGTACGTTTTTCACAAAATTATCTTACATTAATTAAAAACTTTATTAACTCTATTTTATTAACTAAATTAATTAACTTAAATTCTTTGCACTCATATTTTAAATTAACTAATTCTTTACACTATTTTTAATTAACTTAGATCCTTTTTTTTCCTTAAATTTTTATTTTCGAAGGTTTTTATTAATAATCCATCTTTTTCTAGCTATTACTATTGAGTAAACGTTGTAAAAATAATATGGTTCAAAAACAATAACAATAAACGAAAGTAATTAGGATAAATCGCAACTATATATTTACTTTATGATTTAACTATCGAACTATATTTGGCTTTCTGTGATTTAAACTAAGAATCTTAATAGAGCGCGCTAATTCATTCAAATTTTGTATTTTGCCATTTAAATTTTTATTCTTGAAAATGATGTAAAAAGTTTTGTACCTTAAAATTCAAAATTTTTTCAACTGCTATTAAATAAAATAAAAAACAGTTTTTAAAGGTTATTTTTTACTTGGAATTATCTTTGGAAAAACGAATTTCACAATTGTGTGCAAAAATGTTTCGATTCGCTTAAAATGTTCTCAAGATACGACGAAATACGTAAAAAGTAAAATTAGCATTAAACGGTCCAAATTTTCAACCGCTATCCTTATCAAACATGTGAGACCATTTTTCCCAGATTGCAAATACCCTATTTTGAGGTACAGGAATACAAATTTATCGATAAAAGGCATGTTTCTTCAGAAAAACTACGTTTTTGTGTCTGATTTTGTGACTTGAAATATCGTCTGCACTAATTAACTGGAAGAAATTGAGACATTAGGATTGAGTGATACATGAAAATCTGATCATTAGATCAAATGCACACTGTTGATCTAGTTTACCTCATAGATGCCAATTCAGAACTCCTAGCAGACCACAATGTTTAAAGAGACAGCGATAAAACAATAATTAAAATAATTTGTCGAATTTAGCCAACACTTTCCACTATCCGATTTTCAGATAATTTTTTAATTGATAGTGGTGATTAAAATCATTGTAAATCAAATTTATTTAATCAAAAATTGAAAATCATGGCATTTATTATAATCTTGAATATTAAAAAAAAAATTTCCCGTTTAAACGGGTAAAGTTGACTTGCATGTTTTATTTTATAATCGTCGTCGAACAACCGGCACAACTTTGGGTTTACGACTACTAATGTTCAATTCCGTAGGCTTGTAATTTTGAATCCAATTCAGAAGACAAGGGAACTCCTAGATAAAATTATAGGGTGAATTATAGGGTTAAAATATATTCACTTCCGTGGAGGACTTTTTGATGGAACTAACCCGCACTTGCGTTACATGAAGGGAAAAGAACAAAAATCTCCAATTGTTATCCTGACAGCAAGGGGACTCTAGCCTATGATCCGTCTACCACTGAGGATATCTTACGTCAGCAATGTGTGCAAGCCAGAAATTTTAACGACCAGTTATCGGTGGGATTCGAAACCGGTTAACCTCCTTATAAGGCAAACACTCTATTCTCTGAGCTACCACGACTCACATGAATTTTTCAAATTTTTTGATAGAAGTAAAAAGAATGACCCCGGTCATGAGGTTTGGATTTTTTTTTTCTGCTCTAGATGCATGGAGGCCCGCTAATCTTGTTCTGGGTCATCAGCGGTTCCCATAAGGCAGTGTTTCCAAAGCTTACGACTTTTGTGTACCCTTTCTAAATTTTTCGTAACGCTGTGTACCACTAATAAAAAAATGAATGTATTTTTTACTGTAAAAAAATTGCACAAAAGTTAAAAATCACAATTGGCCGTGGACACCACTAATTATTAACTGCTAACTCTGCAAAATATAGCCAATAGAAAAATTCGTAATTGTAAATTTTCATGGCTAGCTTTGTTTCTAAATAAAAAATTTTGAAATTTCCTTTGCAGCAAGATATTTCACATAAGAACTCGTACCCCCTCTAAACTGTTCCCGTACCCCTGGGGGTACGCGTACCACACTTTGGGAAACACTGCCATAAGGTGTTCGACGGCACTTTAGAATGGTCTCAAAATTTTTGTGAGATAGAACTTTTTCGTTTGTTTCGTTAGTAATGATTTTCGAAACCTGTAACATCTTTATATTTAACCAATAATTTATTATTCATTTAATATTTCGTTTATTTTTATGAAATCATTCAAGTAAAATATCAATGAAAAACTAAATGGGAAAAATTTAAGTTGAAAAATATTTTTTTTCAATAACAATATATTAAATAAACTATGAAAAGGATATGCAATTACAAATAATTGCATGTGTATTTCTCATAGAACGCTAAAATTTAAAATCAAATTCAATAATAAATAATTTTTTTTCTCTATTTGCCACTTCACAGTTTATTACAGCTCTTTTTCAAAAATCACAGTTTAGCTTATTTTAATCTATTTCACCTTATGTATACGTCCAAAACTACTGTTATAGACTTAACTATAGACTAGAAGCCGTTGCAGATCTCTGAATTCAACTACCTAACATTAAAACCTCATTTTAAGACTGTTGTAGATAAAACAACGAAAAAACTTCATTCTTCACATTAAGTTTTCTCAAAAATAATATACATTTTTTCATTCTTGGTGTTTAATCATAAGAAGCTCAATCGCTTATTGTTCCGTAACCGAAAAAAATTGGGAGCCGTAATTCAAGGCCGTTAAAATAGATTCTCTCCATCCATCTTCATGCTCAAAATCAAGTTAGAAATTCTAATCCAGACCCTCTGCTTACTATGTAACTAAATTACGTAAGCGGTGAGAAAGAGGGAAAGAAAGGATAAAATTACAGAGATACATTCTTTATTCTTGTTAACTTCCCTGAAACGTCATGCTAACGTCGAATCCAATGAAAACTAGTTTCTTCTGTTTGCAAACAATGCGAGCAAGAATATAGTGTTGTCAGCCGACCCTCCAGTTCATTATTAAAGCGTCAGTTCGCTCTCCTATGCTATTTTGACAGCATTTTTTCGTTTCCTATTGTTATGTAAGATACAATATCAAAGTCCGAAGGATATTCTCTAAATTTTGACGATAGCTTTATCGGTCACATCCGCTTTGACAAACTCATCGTGCGGATATAATTTTTTAGCAGTCAGTCACTTCGTAGAGGATTAATGCGGAGATGGCTTTTCGTCGCTCCCTTATTACAGTGAATCAACAGTTGAGAGTTTTAGGAGGTGTGTATTATCGAACCAACAGAAACTACAATGTTTATTCGAAGGGACATTATAAACCGAGTCGGCCTGTTGCATATGATAAGCAGTCTGTACTGTTACCGGTAAGAAGTGTTTTTATACTTGAAACGATTAAATAATTTCGAAACATTTTAGGAATAAATGATTTAGTACCATAAAACTTTTAAATGATTTTAGTTTTAAAGCTTATTCTTAATAAATGATAAATTAGAATTTAAAATTCTTTTCTCTTGTTCTTTATTTTAGTGAATATCATTAAAAACACGAGTTTTAAATAATATAAATAAAATGGCAGATAAAAGAAAGTAAATTCATATTTACGGTAAAATATTTTTTTTTGAGAAAACAATTTAATTAACTAGACTTAAAAAGCTCTGTTATTTATTTTTACATAAAAATTATTACTTAAAAAATGATAAAATTTTAATTTGCAACAATTTTGGAATTTCGTAAGATATTTGAACAGCGTATTTATTCACATATATTTGTATTTATTCAATATATTTATAGGCAAGTAATATAATATGTATTTATAAGCCATAAAACTGTCCAAAAAGCTGCTTGTATCGAATTACTTGCATTGCAATAATCTTTTATTTTAATTAAAAATTCCAATCAATAAGGGTAAATTCAATTATAATTTCATATTTTACAACAATTTGAGTTAATTTAAATAAAACAAATTTTAGAATGTTGCATATTAAACTTAAAAATTGAAGATTACAATGAAGTCTCAGTTCTCGATAAAACTCAAGTGTTTTATTTACAGACACTCTTATTTGAAATCATCAATGTGTTGTTCCAAAGCTTCTGATAAAAGTTAATGTACTTACCGTGGCTCTTATTTAAAATAGTGAATTATCTAAGTTTCTTTTTATAAAACTTAGAAAATTCTTAATTTATTTACTTAATTTAATATGGTTATTATGATTAAATGTGCGTAGATCTTTCAAGTGATCATCGCGAGATTCCAGTTTTATTTTCTTCTGAAGAATTAATAAATATAGTAATAAAGTGAACACAAACATTAAAAATCTAATGTTTGTAAAATTCGAAATAAGATAAATAGTAATGAATAGAAATTTTTTTTAACTCTTTGACGCAGATTGGTCTCACCGGACTCCCTTTTATATAATTTTTTTTGCTGGCGCTCTAATTACAATATATATATATATATATATATATATATATCGTTATTTTCTAATTCTAAAAAGCAGTCATAGTCATTTAAAAAAGTCTGTTAGATTATCGAAATAATACTTGCACTAAAATATTACATCCCAAAAAGTACATAAAATTTTGTTTTCTTTCATATTTAAAAATGCATCAATAATTTATTTAGTAAATTAAAGAAATTTCAATGATGAATAACTGTTACTCTTAGATCTATATAACTGGAATTGAGTGCAGATTTGAAAAAAATTGTTTGAAAGTGAGCAGCGTTTAGAAGATTTTATCTATAACGCAGAAAAAGGCACCGGTGTCTCATGCTGTATTTCATTACCATAAATTATTAAAATGCTAATTATAATATTATTCACTCATTTTGACCTGAATTAATACGAAATAACAAAAAAAAAATGTGTTTAATACAAATTCTACATCAAAGGGTTAAGTAGGAATGAAAGTGTTAATCATTTAAGCTCTTTTTTTTAACAGAATAATTCCTAACAATTGTATATATTTCAAATGTTTGTATTCAAAATAATTTGGTCTATATCGATAACAATTATTAATAATATATCCTAATATTTCTGTAGAACTATTAGATACATTATTCTCACTCTAACATTTGTATATCAGCTGTCGTCCAAACATTTAAAATTAATGCCATTTTTTTAATTAATTCATGCAGATAAAATAGGTTGATTATTTTTAATTAATTTTATTTACGTGAAAGCTTAAGTGGAGATTAACTTAATTAAAATTCCATATTTTGTCTGCAACTATTAACTTCTTAATTTATTAAATAGTGTAACCGGGATAGCATGGCCGGTAGGGCGTTGACCCCATGTCCGAGAAGTCGCGAGTTCGATCCCCGCCTGCTGAATACTCCCCGTGTATAAATTGGTAACTAGTGCACGCTAGATATGTCGGGGTCACAAGATCCTCCAAGTTCTCATAACAAATCAATACGTCTGAGGGTACTGTATCCGAGATAGTGCTCTGGTCTGGGTCATAATTATGATCTGCGGATGGGGATGGCGTGTGAATGTGTCCTCCCTGTAAAACGGGATGTGACGTATGTATGTTGTCTCCGGATTATTTTCAGGGATGCTTCCCAGACAGTCGCCTATAGCTCATTGTGCCTCTCTAGTGCGACGTAAATAAAAGTAAAGTCATTAAATAGTACAATAAACTGGCCAATTGTTAATATTCCGTAGCACCACTACTTCTACAGAAAAGAAATGACCACCATTTTCTGGTTAATATTTGTGCATAAAATGTTTTAAATTTATATTGCTATAGATTATAAATCTTTTAAATTATACTTAATGTTATAGTTTAACGAATATTAAGGATAATTAAAAGTGTTAATTAAAATACAGTATCTACAATCAATTGAAGGCGTTATTGTAGCATGTGCGAAGGATTAATCGAAATCCCTATTATAAAAAGGTTAGTTAAGTATTTGGATAGTTTCTCATACTGACCATCTCATATCAATTTTAAAAAGACATGACAAAGGAATATCATGCTAAGTTTTACATTTTTACAGTCCAAGAAGTTCTTTGAAAGTTTTCTTTTTAAAATTATAAATGTAATTGAGATTATTATAGTTGTACACTTACTAGACAGCTATAAAATATTGCACTAATATTGTAAAAATTGTTATATCTCTCTATCGGTAGTATTACTAAGTGCGTATTAATATTGAAGAATGAATGAACGAGGTATGCAACAGGAAAATTCTTTTGAAATGGTTGACTTACCGTCACGATTGAATCTTTTCCGTCACGATTGAATCTTACCGAACGGTTGAATCTTTTTACCGTCACGATTTTATGCCTATTTTATTACTCAATTTTGCTGTTTTAAAAGCTCATCTTATTCACTTACCACAAAAACTAATTTTTTTTTTAAAAAAAAGAAAGAAAAATTTCAATGTTGCGTATCTAATTCATCCATTTACCATTCAAGTACGGAGATGAATTATATTATTAGAGTTTACAGTATCGGCTATACTGTGTCAAACGTAAATGCCATTAAGTAATCTTCAGGTGAGCTGATCAAAACTATGTTATAAATTAAATTTGATTTTAAAAAATGGGGGGGAAAGAAGGAAAGATCTGTGAGAATTATGAATCTAAAATGAGGGGGAAAAACTGAATGGATTACGACGCCGCAATGCAGCTCATTCTTTTAATTTTGTTGAATGAGAAATTAATATTTTACATTTATTGAAGTGTTTTAACATACCTCTTCTTTTCCTTTAAATGAAACTTTGCTTTAATAATAAGTATTAGTTGTATTTACTTTATTCATTAAAGTATCCAAGATATTTAATTTATTATTCTACTATTTGACCAACCAACTAACCAACCAACCAACCAAAAGGCACATTTTTATGTGTCTTTTTTGTGATGCATGATTATAAAAACTTTCCAACACAGTTTTACCTTAGAAAATTTTATTTCGACCAAAAAAGGGCTTCAGTGGTACATGTTACTGCCATCTACCGGCAACTGCATAAATTAAAACTTGAGTACTTTCGGAATAACTTCATACGTTCTTTTTTTCCATATTCGTTTTTTTTACTATAACGCTTCGAAACCCCGGAGGGAATTATGAATAACCCTATAAAATTTAGGATAAAGGGAATAATTTTAAGTTTTTCAACCAAAAATTACATAGTTAAATTTTTATTTCAAAACAAAGATTAAACTATTACAATTCTTAAAGATTCTGCATCAGAAGTGGCAATAATATCAGCAATAGGATCTTTAAGATTGATGATTTGCGAGAAAGAAATCTACTTTAAACTCAAATTTGTCCAAAAACTTACTGATTTGTTAATTAATTTTCGAATAATCGGGTAAAACAATAAATTTTTTTAATTTGAGTTAGAGATTTTGAGGGTTTACGAGATTAATTTTCAGTTGATGGATTCAATAATATTGGAAGGAAAACCACGGTCTACAGTGACAGTTTTAAGGAAAAGGTGGTCTTCACGCGCACTTTACCTTCATCACACCTTACGTCTTTGTTTCTTATCTCCCCTTTTTTACTATCTTGTTCAAACTTATTTCTTTGTCACTCTTGGTCAAACAAATTTGCATTGGTTTGTCTCTTTACTTCCTCATCATCATTTGGTGCTTAGGAACCTAAAGAAAGTTCGTGTTTAAATAAATTTTTTTGCTACAATAGAAAAGTTCCTACTTATTATTAGAGAAATAATTTAAGTTTGTGTGCATAGATTGTCAATTATCATAAAAAGTTCCTCAAGCAAGAAAAAAAATTCTTCGGCACCCTCTTCTTTGAAGGTGGTAAAAACGATTCTGACTTTGCTCATAGGGTTTTGGAATAGGGAGCAAAATGAGGAAGGAATTATCTAGTGCAGGCAGACAAATATACTTTTATTAAATATGAAAATAATTGTTATCTAGGCAATTGAGATAATGTTTCAGATGTATTTCTACGCTGAATAGAATGACATTAATATCGAGAAAGAATTTTTAAATAGGGATACAGTGACCTGTCAGTTATGCACCACCTCTCTTGTCCACCTTTTTCATTCATACAACAATTTTTATAGGTCCCCAGTACATTAGGTACGAAAATAATGATATTCATCCTTTGTTTATGCGCCTCTCTAAAAATAAATTTTACATTTATGCGCCGAAATTTTACGCTAACATTCTAATATTTTTTTCCTTTAAATATTTAAAAAAAAAAGGTTTTAGATTAAAAATTGAAGTAAATAAGCAATCCTTGCTACAGATAGAAATATATTGTTAGATTCTATTGAATAGTTCACTTTTCCTTCTCTGCGACCTTCTCATTTTTGCTGTTTCTAGAAAGACATTCTTCCTACAATTTTGAATAGCGCGTCCTATCTGTTACATCAACAACAATAAAAGTC